TCTTAAGTAGGTACGTATAAAAATCACAGGCCATGTTGGTGACGTCAAAATGAGAAGAAAAGTCCGCAAGTTATTCAATTCTGAGATACAAATTGTCGAAGTTTAAAATTTTCTTGGATATGAGGAAGTTATTTTTCGAAAATGTAATAGTTATTTATGTATCAAGAGCGTAAAGTAGGCGTTTATGGCCTGCGACGTGAATAATGGCCCGATGGCGTTAGCCGAGGGCCATTACACGACGAAGGCTATAAACGCATTTTACGCACGTGATACATACAAAATTTTATGCACTAGTGGTTTTGATTATTTTTCCTGGTTTTTGTGAGTAAATTCAAAAATGACCATGATATTCGAGTGGAATTTGGTATCTCACCTATTCTCACCCGAATATCACGATTATTTTGGAATTCATTCACAAAGAAACCGAAATAACAATCAAAATTCGACACTCTGTATCTCAAAATGAATAATTTGCCATTCAATGCAGTTTTTGAATTTTTCAATCAACTTGTCAAATAAGCGAGATATTGCCTGTAAACGACAACTTGGAACACCTGGTATACGAATCTCATTATTTCAGTGTGAAAATAATATTTGAAATATAACTGTGAAATAATGGTTTGGGAGTTAACCCATTTATTTTATTTTCAAACATTTTCCATTTTCAAAGAAGATTTCTATAAACTTTATGGGGAGCTGATTTCAAAAATACAGGGTATTCCTTAATGCTAATATTCAAGGGGCCGATTCTTCGACCCATTTCAAGAATAAAACTTCATATGAACGTATGTTGTAAACGTCCTAACTTTTGAGATACAGGGTGTCAATGTTGAAAATATGCAGATTATTTTTTTGTCCACCCTGTATAGCTTTTCTGTCCTGAATGGAGTACTCAGACATCAAAATTTGAAGTCTGGTCTCGTTTTTTCCGTTTTTTCTCGAAAACGAAGCGTTTCATCCAGTATCAACAAGCATCAAAGTCCGACTTTTTGAATTAAGTCAGACTTTTTTGAATTAGTTCATTTGAAAAAAAAAACAAACAAATTTCATTTACCCAAAGCAAAATAGAAAAAAAGAAACAAAAAAACTGTTTTTATTCCCTTCAGAAATCTTGTAGAATAACATCATAATATAACATGTAATTTTTTCAAAACAAAATTAGAAGTGATGATAGAATCCAAAATAATAGATACATATAGATCCAGTACCATCCATAAAGTTCGTAACACATGGAGAAAAAAATTATTAGTAGAATATCGAAACTTTTTTGTCTCGGGGATCTATTATGCATGTCTGACTACTTAAAAGTCGATTTTGACACATGTCACTTGATCACTCGTATGGCGGTAAATTCAAAAAATTACGTTGGCAAAAAGTGGGGTTAGATGGGAAGATGAAGTTATTTAAAAAAAATAAAAATAGCTATTTTCAGTTTTCTCAAATAATGGCTGGAAACTCCATATGTAAGCATGGAATTGAATTCTATTCAACTTGTACATCATCAACATCACTACTTTCAGAAAAAAAAAAAGAGAATTGTATCAAAATTGAAGAATATTTGAAAAAATATAGCTATTTCTAATTCTCCTCCAAAAATTGCTCGAAACTGAATGTGGAATAGCAACTTAATAAGAAATATTTATGGATATTTTGTTATCTAACCACACTTTTCGTCGTTTTATATTATTATTTTTATTTATCACCATACCAGTGATCACGTGACATGTGTCAAAATCGATTTTCAAGTTATCAGATATGCATAATGGATCGCCGAGAGAAAAAAATTCGATGCTGTGATAATAAACCTGTTTTCATATGTTATGGACTTTATGGATGATACTTGATACTGTATATATCAGTTAGTAAAAATCTCTGTCATGCTTGAAATAACGGAGTCTTGCCAAAATACGATCGAATTTTTCAGTTTAAACTAGTTAAAATCAAAGGTAATAGTGCAATTTGTCTCATTTTTAAAAATTTGAATGAATTCATGACTTTTTCGAAAAAAGTCAATGGAATTAATTCACGAATTAAATCACTGATTCAATTCATATGAAATAATTCATGCCAACCCTGTCAACAAGAGGATCATTTTGTACATAATTAAATAGGCTTTAATAGCATTGTATGACATTTGAAAATGTTTTGTCTTTGCTCACTTTCAAGTGAAATATAAACAATAATATTCCCGTAACGGTGCCACTGGTAGAGAAATTGAAAATGTTTGTACATCAGAAAATGCACCTTGATGCATAAAAGACGTGTACCAAATTTCATGAAGATTTATACAATATTGTCTCAGTTATTATCAAAAAACTGAATATTTTTCAAAACTTCATCACCCTGTATCTCAAAAGTTGAGACTTTTAGGACATACGTTCATATGAAATTTTCTTCTTAAAATGAGTCAAAGAATCACCTCCTCAATTATTTTAGCATGTCTTTAAGGAACACCCTGTATATAACACCTACACATGTGAAAAAATGTTTGAAAAATTTACTCTTTTGAATAGACCACACTAGGAAATGAAATCCCCTTTAAAAACATTGCTAATATTAATCACCTTCTATTTTTCCTTGAGAACTGAAATTAAAAATCGACCAGTTCCAGGAATTTCGGTAAAAATTGGTAGTTCGGCTGAAAATAAATTCATTCATCACTTAATACACCCGGTATTTATCTTTTAAAGTTCGAATAAAAGCTTGTATGATGAATTGAAATTTGGCAAATAGAAACTGAAACACCCTGTATATTTTTGTTATCTAATAACCGTCGAATAAATTCCAAGCCTTTTATTTTAATTGCATTCCCGTTTTTTTTTTTCATTTAATGTTTATTAGATGCAAATGACAAACGGTCGTAATGAACAACAGCTCCACTGTGTAGATGAATGTGTGTGATTGGAATATAACAGTGGATTTTTATTTGCACAATTTCAATCAACCAGTTCCGAGGAGAACTTCCGTTAGATAAGTTTTTTATCATTGTTCCATTCAGCATAATCATCATATTTTTATATTTGGAAGAAAATTTGAGATTTGGCTAGAAATGCAATGCAAATCAGTTTTTAATAGACATACAGGGTGATTCACGTAGACTATGCATTAATAAGCCTTTAGAGAAAATATTTCTATGTCAGGTTTTTGTTGTTGTTCCTAAGAACTGAGCTCAGAACACAAACATAAACAAATATGGTAAAACTGCATTTAGCATGCGATCGTTTTTTTTTTTCGAAAATTTTTTTGGTTCTTACGTATTTTTGTCTGAAAAGTACGAATTTGACAATGATAATGTGAACAAACCACTATTTATCTGGATATTTCAAAACAAAAGTTCGAAATTTCAACATCTTTTTCCCCTTATGTTGGATGAATTTACAGGTACTTGCTCTTCTTATTTTGTCATTGGACACTTTATATACTCATGATGTACTTCAATGACACATTTTTATACAGAAAATTCAACAGGAAATATGATTTTTATGGCGAGTTTTTCATATTTAGTGAACAAGCATACCAGATGACGGCCATTTAATTAATAGTCAATCCAAATACGAGATGTCAAATGTCAACAGATTGCTTTTGAATGACACACACGCCATTATTTTAAATGATATTCTTCCTTCTTTTCACTAAATATGGATAAATCAAAAGTAAATCCTATTTCTAGTTGACTCAATAATAGAAAAAAATGTGTCTTACATTGTGGTTTGATCACATTTTCATTATCAAATTCGTGTTTTTCAGACAAAAATACGTAAGTACAAAAAAAAAAATTCTAAAAAAAAACCCATGGCATGCCAAATGCAGTTTTACCACAAATATTGTTTCTATCATTCATTGTTCCAGAAGAAGGAACACTGATTACAATAGAATTTCATCCACCTTGTATGCTTAGAGTATTTTTCATGAATAACATATAAAACTTGTACCCAATGAAAATTACAAAATAACTAGGTATATTTTACAGAAGAGTGAACCTGTTGAATTTCTAACCTTTTTACTGAAGAGAACATTAGATATGATAATCAAGAATACTGAATAAACCATGAATAAAACCAAGACTAAAATATAATTATGGTCACAACAACTTTCCAGAATTTAATGCACCAATTTCAATAATTCATTAAATAGAAATCTATGAAAAATGCTGAGAAGGTGAAATAATAATAAAAATTGGGGCAGTTTTGACAAGCCTGAAAATTGGAATGTACTGTTACAAATTTCATAAAAATACTCAGAAATGAAGTTTCTTATTTTGGTGATGATTTCCCTCTCCCCCCCCCCCCCCCCTTTCCCAAATGATGATGTATTTTGAAACACCCTCTACAAGTAGGTAGGTACACAAACTTTATATGTATATTTATTATTATTTGATTGAGTAACAAACTTTCATTCTCTTCAAACTACAAACTGGAAACTATGACACTTTCTACATAAAAAATTCAAGTATGCTCAGGTAGGTAATATATTATCTCTTTAATTAACATTCTTCTTTGGAAATATATGTTAAATAATTTAATTTCTCAATTCACCATAAAACAATGACACATAATAGTTTCAGCTAAAATCACTTCTTGTTCAAGGTTTTTCAGTGTTATTACCACTTACCACCACTCCTGCATAAATTAAAAAAACACAAAAAAACATAGGTACTTACCTAGCATCAGCACTTTTAAAATCTGCAAGACTAGATATATTTGAACCACTTCAAGTCAAGGAAACAATTTTAGCATTTTTTAAAAATTGATCTGTACCTCCCACTGTGGATAAAGTCCTTTGCAACCCAAAAATAGTTCAGACCTTAAATTCTAGTAGTTATAGCTGCCTCCACATACCCACTTATTCTTTAATCAACAACAATTGTGTAGGATTAAAAACGTCCTGTGATCTTTCACATTGTCTCCTTGAGAAAATGTCCATTGAATTGACCAATTATACTATGCGTAATCAAATTCACCTATATGATTTGTCACAGAGATACCTACCTACCTACCTACCTATTTAGCAATTTTACTACGGTAGTTGCAGAATGTCTTGATTAAGCTTGGACATCGAGATGGACATTATCTCTCTTCAGCACAACCAAAAACTTTCATAAAAACCCGAATTCTGCACAATATTTATCACTTCACCTTGCAATACTAATTTTTGTCACCTATGTAATAACAATGTATAAAAAAAAAATATTTTGCTTTCACTTGCGGTTGGGTTCGTTCGGAGTCAAGCCGAAGGTTTGTTGATTCGAGGATTTCGACGGAACCATGATGGACGACAACTCGACAACACAAAATACAGAATGCCACAGAAATTTGACACTTGACGACTTGACGGAAAGATGGATCCTTGTGACTCGCCCCTTAGATCATGATCTGAGACTCGCACGAATTCATTGAAGCAGCTAGAGACAGGATGCAACAAGTAGTCCATGAAGTTCCAGCCGTGTGCATAGCTCTCGGACCCTGAAAATATCATCATTGAAATAGAAAATTACTATCCGCCACGATAGTGAATGTCTCCACAGTATGTTCTTCAAATAATCCTTGCAGTGTGCAGTTATCATATATCTACTACTCATATATGAATCATAGCCTTAGTCATAGCTGTCCTCAAAGAGGGACCAACTTCGGTAACGAAATCGATCAATAGGCGTTGATGCCGATGTAGGAAAAGAATTATGCAAAACTTGTCAAACCAATAGGGCTGTTTCCATCCTTCATTTTCCGTCCTTATAGATTCAAAAAGTACCTCTCATTTTGGTCCCATTTTTGTTGAGATATCGTATAGGCGATGAGCCATATATAGAAATAGTACATATATGAATGTTATACAGGGCATGTCACGACGAGCTTACACTATCTTTATATCCAGAATCAGTCGGTAAAAATCAATGAAAATGTGCGTGCTTATATTTCAGAATAAGCTCTCTTCATTTAACATCAAAAATTGACAAAAATAGTTCAGTGGCGCAGATTAGATATTAGCGTTGATTGATATATTACGTAAGCGTAATATATCAATCAACGATGTTAGACAAGGAAAGATTTATCGGATCTTTCTATATTTCAGTGCGGCCACGTTGGTAGCATTGGAGAGAAAGATGGAAGAGGAGAGAACTTTCCTCTTCCTCTTTCGTTATTCAAGGTAGAAAAGACTGAAAAGAGCTCATTATTACTCATTACCTGTTTAATAGTGGTCCCTGTAGTGATATCATGTGCTCTAGAAGTATCAATATTTATTCTTGTTCAATACAGGGCACCGTGGACGAGTTTGTCTATGCGCTGAAATCCGGTTATCGGCTGAGCATTTTTCTTTAAAATGTGTGATTCTTTGTTGTAATCCTGTAGGTCCCGATCTTCCTAACCCCGCACAAGTTTCGAATTCTGGGGATTTGGTTCCCAACTTTGAAGTAGCGATATACAAATTTTACAAAATCTCTCTCCCAATAAGGACAATGAAGAACTTGGAAAGTTGGAAGAAAGAATCAAAATACTCGAGTTAATGTGTATGGATGTGTGTAAATGCTGTAAAATAATTAAATCAATACCTAAAAGAAATTTTCACCCAACAATAATATTCATCTCATTGATTAAAATCTGTAGGTTAGTACCTATGATTGGTAATATGCAGGTACCTTCATGAGAGCTCAATAATATGAAGGATAATGGTTCAGGAATACCTTACTTGATCTTGATAGGTGTGATGTTATGAATTTTTTTCAAAAATACTAGGCAGATAGGTAGATACCCTATGTTATGTTATGTGAAATGTGAAATATTTCAGAAATATGTCAATATATACATACGTTTACCATGCACGGCCGGCTCGAACTTGCTCCGACTGTCCGGTCCGAGAAGAGAGTGGGTGAACAGTTAAACCACAGTAGAGAGCTTACGTAAGCTTCTTTCTTTTGTTCTGTTTCTTTTCTGTGAAGGAGTGAAGGTGAAGAGGTGAAGCCATTTTTAGCGTCCCTCTTGGTATTGCTATATAATGTTAAAACTTCATAATGACAACTATGAATATGGAAAAGGTGAGTTGATTCACCTGTACGTACATTCACTAAATATTCGATGCTTGATTGAATGGAATGAAAATCAGCTCAAAATTGAATGCATAAGAAGAGGTAGGGCGGTAGTGGCAAAAATATAACCACAACTTTATTTTTTCAGGTGCTGTCAGAAACAGGTTTCTTGTTACGGATATGGAATTTGAAAAATATGTGGCAGCTTGGTTTCGCCATTCCAGGTCTCAGGTTAGCCTTAGAGAAGGAGAATATTGAATGAAATGTTTTTTTGTTATAATCTAATGAGTTTTTTCATAGTATAAAATCCACTAAAACTGCAGTTTTATTTTATTATACCAATTGACTACATTTTACACACGATGTTAATTATTATAGCGTTCACTTTCATTATCAGTAAGTGATCTCAAATTAACTGCTGTGATAATGTAGACTTGGTATGAACTAAACATGGTTTCATATTTGAAATATTCCAGTATCAGCAAAAGTGAGATGTATCGGGAATTTTTCAAAAATAAGTCATGTTGGAAATGTTGCAAATAGTGCAATGAGGAAATGTTTCGAAGTCACTATTTGTGAAACGTTTCATGAAATGCAATAGTGAAATATCTCAAAGATGTTTATGTATACTGTTTATTAAATGTTTCATGGAGATATGGGTTGAAACATTCCAATGAAACATTACACATTTATGGTCTCTAGGATGTCTCATACATGTTTCGGAGAATATATAGTGCCACGAGTAGTTATTTTTCTCAATTTCATTCAAATTCATAGAAGGTTCGAAGTCATTGAACGTTCACGTCTTTGTTTATTATTAATTCCAAAATTTTCGAATCGTGAACGAACTTTTTTCCATACCCAAGTAGCACACATATATTGGGACAATATCGGTGCAATATTACGAAAATATCGGCGAAATATTGTGAAAGTAATATTGGCGAGAAAAAAAATGTGAACATTCGGCGATATTGGTACAATATCAGTTTCCAAATGTGGGTAGAATATTCTCATATTAATATTGGTTGAATATTCGTAGAGTTATATCGGACACAAAATGTAATATCAATATTGGCGAGAAATTAATGGTGAACATTCGGCAATATTGGTGTAATATATGGAAATATCGGTGAATCATTGAAAATTATCATGAAGGTATGTTGTCTCAGAAATATTGGTAGAATATTCTCATACCAATATTGCTGGAATATTCGTGAAGTTATATTGGTCACAAAATGTGATATCAATATTGCTGATAAATGGACAGTGAACATTTGACAATACTGGTGCAATATTGGATGGAAATATTGGTACATTATTGAAAATCATTATGTAGCTATGTTGTCTTCAAAATATTGGTGGAATATTTTCATACCAATATTTGCGAGTTATTCGCATCAGGAATAATCACAAAGGTCAGCCCAGCCAGAGTGCAATGGAAGGGCCTTGCATTGGGGAAGCCTCCTTGTTGATCACGGTTAACCCCTACTCCAGGTTATAATACTTTACAATCGTCTAGAGCTAATATTTATATTCTCTCGTCTGATCGGCAATGGGAGTACGTTACCAATCATTTATAGCGCCATCTATCGACATCGATTTGGGAGTGCGTAATATGGAATAAATATCAAAATTTCGATATCGATATGTATTCTCAAAACAATATGTGAACAATATTGCTCACATGATATAGTGAATCACATATCAGGCAATATAAGATGATATTATTTTCTGAATATTGCTAGAAAACTATTCACCCGATATGCAATTGAACTTGAAATTACAATATTGTTTTTCTCTTCTATGTCCGATATAAGATATATATTGAATTGCTGTTATTGATATTCATATTTGAATCATTGAAAACCCCTTCAGAATCGACATGGGGAGAATGTTCAAATTGCGATATTGGTTATGATTGTTGGAAACAATATGTATACGATATTTTCCGCATGATATCAATTGAAACAATATTCATCCAATTTGCCGTCGAATCCGATTACACAATATTGTATATCCGCTTCAGAATCGACATGAGGAGAATGTTTGAATTGCGATATTGGTTATAGTTGTTGGAAACAATATGTGTGCGATATCTTCCGCACGATATAGTTGGAATGATATCAGTCAATATTGGTGAATTTTATGTTCCAAATATTGTTGAAACAATATTCTACCAATATGCCGTCGAACTCGAACATACAATATTTCATAACCGCTTCAGAATTGACATGGGGAGAATGTTCAAATTGCTATATTGGTTATAATTGTTGGAAACAATATGTATACGATATCTTCCGCATGATATGGATAGAATGATATTAATCAAGATAAGTGAATATGATATTTCGAATATTGTTGAAACAATATTCAACCAATATGCCGTCGAACTCAAATATACAATATTGCACAACCGCTTCAGAATCAACATGGGGACAATATTCAAATCGCGATATTGGTTATAAATGTAAGAAGCAAATTGTATACGATATCTTCCGCATGATATAGATAAAATGATATCAATCAAGATGGGTGAATATAATGTTTCAAATATTGTTAAAACAATATCCAACCGATATGCCGTTCAACTTGAATTTACAATATTGCATAACCGCTTCAGAATCGACATGGGGAGAATGTTCAAATTGCAATATTGGTTGTAGATGTCGGGAACAATATGTATACGATGTTTTTATATCGACATTCGTAAAATAATATTATATAACATTCATAGATATGTTTTTCAACACATTGTTAACGAATTTTACAACCTATATTGCTCCAATATTGTAGCTGACAATCCATATTCAGCTCAGGTTGAACCAATATTCCACCAATATTATCATTCCAATATTGTTTGTCCAATATACTCTCATATTGGACCTATATTATTTTTCACACGTACGACATATCTATATCGGCCCAATATGAAATCGGGTTCCAGCCAATATGATGTGCTACCTGGGTAGTAGTTGAACATGAACACAGGCGTGACATTGACTTCAACGAACCTGGACTATCGACCTGATTTCCTTACTGTCACGTTCCCGAAAATATAGACAACTATTTAAAAGACGTATGAAAGCGGGTTCGACAGTTCGACTACCGGTTCGACTGCGAGTTGGAATGCCAGTTCGAGTTCTAGTCTTGTTTTTTGAGTACGAGTCCGCAGCCGCATATATCAAGGAACCCACACGAATTCCGGATGTCAATAACGATTCAGCTAACACATTTGACTTGTTCCTCACTAATATTTAGCACCTCACACCATATGGCTAAGTGGAGCTCGTAGATCTATTAGCAATTCTGACTACACACTCATTTCCACAAGTTGCTCATTTTTCATTCCATCAACTGCTCTGGCACCCCACAGTGGCACCACGACTTTGTATGGCATTATAATTCAGGAGACTAGGACGTTCTTCGCATGTTTTTTTCCGAGTGTCTTTGGCACAGAAAATGCTTTGATTCTGAGGATCCTTCACACTCTGCTGCGGAAATATCCGAGATCATCACGCTTGGAATGGACACATTCTTGGAAAAGATCATCGCCTTCGAAACCCTGGTTCAACAAAAACTGTTTCAGAGCTGTTGCCTTGAAACAAACAGTCTACCATGGCTGGCGCACAAACCCTAACCTCGCGACTAGAACAGAATACGTTGAAGCCAGGAATAACTGCAGCCAAACAATAGATGCATCGAAAGAAACTCATAGATTGTCCCAAAATGGATCCCATTCGTTTTAGTCCCTCGTTGAAGAAGTCGGGAGAAATTTCACCAATAGTTCATTTTTCCACCACTCTCCAAAGCTGACGGCCCTTTAGCAACAACATCGCAAGAAAAAGGAAATATTATTGCAGAGATGTTTGCAGCATAAACTCTACTTTATATTCCGAAGGAAAAGTGCCGCCCGATATTCCACCCGTTGAGAGTCGAATGCCCGAAATCGTCTTCCGTCAACGCACTATCAGAGGAATCTTGCTTGGTCTTAAATCGAATAAGGCTAACGGTCCTGATGGAATTCCACCCATCATCCTAAAAAAATGTGCACCAGAATTGACATCTATTATATCTGCAAGTTATTTACCATCTCGTACAAAGCCGGTATTTTTCCGTCATGCTGGAAGATAACTAGAGTCCAACCAATCCCCAAAAACGAGGAACAAAAACCAGCCCAACAACTACAGGCCTATTGCTCTGATGTTATCAGTAATCTCCAAAGTGATGGAGAAAGCCATCAACATTGAGCTTATCAAATATCTGGAAAGCTCAGGAATCATCGCAATGATAGACAATATGGCTTTCGCCACCAAACATCAACTGGAGATCTACTTGCCTATGTCACCTATATATATGGCAAGCTTCGTTAGAAAAACATGATGGGGAATCTCTAGCTGTGGCGCTAGACATATCGAAAGCATTCGACCGTGTTCGTGGTGGACGGTATATCCTCTGATACTGATAGGAAACTAAGAACTCACAGCGAAGGCAGGTCATTGCTGTCAATGAAGATGTTGCTAAAAATCACAGCCTGGGGAACCAACAACCTAGTTGAATTCAACACTGTGATAACTCAAGCCTGTATTTTCTCTAGAAAGGTGGAACTCAGTATGCCTGATATAACAATGTCTGATATACCAACATTCCCACCAAGTCAACTATATCTATGTTCGGTGTATCCACTTTTTCATGGGATAATCATGTCCGATCCATCGCGAAAGTTGCTAAAAGCTATAGTTTACACCTTAACCGCTATTCTCACAAAGCACATAAAATACTGTTCTCATAAATGGGATTCAGCACCCAAACATAATCTGATGCTCGCTTATACCCAGACGGCACCTCATATTCTTGGAATAATATGCCTACTAACATCCGTAATAATGAGGAATATTTCGAATCTCAGGCGAGATCTCCGCGATTTCTTTCGGATGATTTCAGAGGGTATTTTCCATGGTGACAGCATAGGGGAAAGTCACCTATGATGGCATGTTTCCTATGATGGCTATAGTACTCTTTAGCACCTCGCAGGCGAATTTCGCGTTATGATCTTGAAATAACTACTTAGGGTTATCGCGGAGAGTTCCGTGTTATCTGATTTGACAACCCTAGAATATAAAGTCAATATCTTGACCTACTACAAAATGGCGGAACATTTAATATTTGCCTGAATACAAACACATCGATATGGATATATATAGTATTCCAACAAGATGGAGCACCACCACACATTACTCCAGACAAGTTAGAAACATTTGGATAATTCTTCCGATTGTTGGAGTGGCCGTCGAGGTCCCACGGAATGGCCAGCCCGCTTGCCAGATTTGAGGCTATTTGAAGCATAATGGCTACGAGAGTGCACTTGCTACAATATAAGATATGCGACAGAGAATGATAAATATTTGTAGAAATATCGATGTACTTGTGTGAATAAAAATATAAGAATAGCTATTTTTGTGTATTTATATAGAGCGCAAAGTGATAGATTGCCACTCGACAAAGAAAGTTACCGCGCGATGCGGAGCGGAGCGCGGTAATCTTTGGAGAGCGGCAATAACACTTTGTGCTCGAAATACACACAAGATTTTTTCTACTAACGCAGCTTTTGGAAATAACTACCCTGAAAGTATGAGCGATTGAAATAGTTGAGAAAGTTCTAATCCATATTATCCCATATGTCCAAAGGAAACAAAAAAAGAAAAATTGAAATAACTGACAAGCCAGAAAAAAAATTTCGGGCCTACCGAGAATTGACACTGGACCACCAGCGTGGCAACCTGAGCTTCAGACCTCTGAGTACGATAAGCGCTGCAATCTAATTGAACATTACTCATTGATGCAATAGAATAAAGATAAACGAGTTTGAATATAAAGTATAATTCATCGTTTTCAACAGATATGCTTCATCGGGAGCTTCTTGTAGAAATTTGTTGGTATATATCTTCAGCGGTGAATGTTTTGGATTTTTCTCGCTTTATATCCAATAGATTGTTTCTTGAGAAATGCGATGAGTTTCAGAAACTTATTGATTCCGATATTATCTTTAACATTCAAGCATGTATACGTACCATCGAATATATAGACCAATGAGTTGATGACTTCAAAGTCTTTGATTTTTTACCAAAATAAGCCAGTAAAACGTTTTATGAATACATATTCACCATCTCGGAGTGGCACCAATTTATGAATGTATCATATTGTAATTCATATTTCTTCCTTGATTTCTCCGGTAAGAGATTCAAACTGTTGCGCTTTCTGCTATATCATCAGGAAGGAGGTGTGTTTGATGATTCACTGTCACTTTTTTCCATCATGAAAGAATTGGGGGTTTTCAAGAATAGATAAGTATATAGGTTACAGAGATAAGCTGTCAAAGAATGACATTTCTGGGAAAACGTCAACTTTGTGCTGGAATTTGAAAGCGTCAAAGGCTACTTTGAGAAGCGTTTGTAGAAAAATATGTTTCATTATTTTTGAATCAACAATAATTGTTTCTTTACGTTATGACGTATTATGGCGTCCCAAAACGTCAAATAAATGTCTTAGTATGGCGTTGAAAATTGACTTTGTGCGGACGTCACCAAAATGACGTCAAAATCATGACTTATTCACCTCATGACGACGTCATAGCGACACAAAATGACGTGATTTACTTTCAAATTATGACATAGAGGCGTCCTTTGGTTACTTGGGGATGATTAAAATTAGAATATCGTTTTTCGCTGTAATTTAGAAATCTAAATATCAAATCGAAAACTAAAACACGTCAACGTTCAACGTCAAATCAAACTTACCGAACTTACTAAATAAAATTCAGGGTCGGTCTGGTGACAATCTACCGCTTTGTCAGCAATCGAGTTTCGTGAATATACCCTTTTTTCAGGATTCAACATTTCATTATTACGGAACGAAAAACTAGCCGAAATTCATAACCAATTTTAATTTATTCAAAGTCGACCAAAGGTTCAAAAAATAAAGAAGGGGAGGGGCAAATGGGGGGGGGGGGAGAAAAGCACTGTATATCGCAGAACTTGGACGTATTTCCTAACACTTCATAATCATATAATATATATCATACAGTTGTTCATGAGTTGATCGTAGCTTTCTTTGTGAAAAATTTGAAGCATCCACCAAACCATTCTGACGTCAATGCTGCTGCTCCTATCAAACATCCAGCACCCAGAAGCAAAAACATGCCTTGGGTGTCATCGAGTGTAAGAGCTCTGTCCTCGTAAGTAAGAGTTTTTGTGGTGCTAGGCCTCGAATTTGCCTGAAAAAAAAGTATTTGAAATTGCGTGTTCGAATTATACCGAATTTTGTATCAAGGTCATTTTATATAGATAGATAGATAGATATATTTTTATTCTTTCTTTCATTGCTTCATACATCATTATATGAACTTATCATTCATAAAGAAAAACATAAGGAGAAAGCCTAGTAAAACCTAATGGTCGAGCATGGGCATGTCTCTACATTATTATTTTCAAATGAAATTTTGTTATCTATAATGATAGTTACAGGTGATTCAACTATACTTATTCCCAAGTTATACGGCAAGAGAAAGAAAAGCTATTCTAAGATTAATGATTATAACTAATAACTAAGATGAATTAATACAACAGTTGATAAGGTTTGTGTCAAAAATAAAATGACACACTGAGGAAAATTTTGCTATTAGAGTTTTTGCTGAGATATTTCTTGCTACCATTACAAGAAATCATATTACCGTTATACATTTTCGAATAGAAGCAGCACCTTCAAATCCTATGATAGCAATAACGACTTTGCTGAAAGTGAATTTCCTGCCACAGGAAGGTATACTGCTGTAGCTATCAGGCAGCCACTCTGGGACAGCATGATGTTTTTTATAATTGTCTAGCTGAACTACTACTAGTGAGTTATATGCTTGTGGCTGCGAGGTTCATCGTATAGAACTGCACTCACTTCCAATAATACAACTGTCAGTCTGCCACGAAAATAATATTTGACGAACCAACTTGGGGTTATTTAGCGCCTACTCATCGTTATTCGATGTTTCGCTGATTTGTCCCCCTCTATGTGAACATTTGTCAGACATCTTGCTTGATCAAGCATTCACAGTTGGGCTCTTGATGCAAACCCATGTACAGGACGACAATCTCGACGACACGACAGTTACGAATACTTCCCCTCTTGAATTCAATTCATTATTCAAAATCTGAATCTGAATTCAAATATAAAATGGAAACATTTTCGAACAAATAAAAAAATCTTCTGTGTCCCTCTCAGTGCTTTCGTAGATCTGAGTGCTTCAGTTATTATACCAGGATTGATGGAATGATGAAGGTAAGTTTTTTCGGGGTATTTCGTCTGAAATTCAGATATTTTACATTCAATAACATTTTCCTCTCTTTGGTATCATGAAACTTCAAAATGATCAAATATGTTTCAGAGCTTCTCTATAGAATCTGGTCTAAAAACTTATTGTGAGCAAAAATGTCCAGGTGATGAAATTATTTGAATAATTTTACTGGTAACATTTTGTTTTCCTGTACGAATCTGTGATAACTTGCCTAGTTTTCGAAATACAATGGTTTCAGAAGGTTTCAGAAAAATTCTTTTTTTCATCAATTACTCAAAAAACCCTTTGGTTTTTCCTGAGGGTGCATGCATCAATTGATCTATTGAATTTCAAAGATCATTGGTCCGAAATTTTCTTTAGGAATCAATAAATTGCTATTCATACCAAACATCACTAACATCAGGGTGGAAATTATGGGGAGTGAAAGTGGATATCGGTCAAAATTTCACCTTTCTTGATGACAACAATCCTGGAAAATAACTGACTAACTATACAGTAAGAAGGTCATGCAACTATCTATATGATCACCCATCAAGAGTAGCAAAGTTTCCTACCTACGATTATAACATTGCCCTACTCCCGTTATTAGATGCACTCACTAGCGGTAGCAAAGTCAGATACCTACTACAGAAACATCGTCTAATAGCAATATACAGATGCACTCGCTAGTAGCAGCAAGGTTCTATATCTAATAATTGCAGGTGGGTTATAATCAGCAAAGTCGACTTTATAATCACAGGTGAAAACTCGCTTGTCCCCTATGCTATTAGAGTTTCTTGCTGGGGTAATTCGATTTCTGACTATGGTTAATAGAAATTTTCCTCAGTGCAGTGTTTTTGTGATCATACTTGAATCAAATTTATTGTCATTGTATTACATTATCAGTTATTTTCAATCTCACTATGAACAGTGTTTCTAATCAAATTTTGTATGCATGTTTTGAACATATCTTTCATCATACTGTATGATTGTATATACTAGTTTTTACCCGCGGCGATGAAGCCCTTAACTGAATCAATGTAATTTAGTATTTAAAAATTACTACGTACCAAGAAGTTTTGAAAACTGAAAATGACATGGTTCATTGAAATAATTTACTACAACAAAAGTTAAAATGTATTTCAATAAAACAAAAATTTGATTCACGCTTCCGAGGTATTTTAAAGAACTCAGAGTAAGAATTGGAAGCAGTGAGAAATAAATAAACCTGACAATAAACCTGACAATAAACCTGACACCTAACAAATAATCCGTGTGGATTTTTCTTCCTCTATAAATCTGTTTTGTACATAAAGGTCAAAACACAATGCAGAAGAATAAGCAATAGCACTATGATTGGTTCGAAACGCGTTCAAGGTTAGAATTGACCAATAGCAGACCTTTGCATTCCTCATTTTCCATTCCATAATCCCTATCCCTCTACATTATTGTGTCACGACCTAAAGTTCGCAGGGAACATATAAGGTGCGTGCTTGATAATCCAAAGAACCCGGGTTCGATTCCCGTACTCCACCTACCTTTTTTTCATTTTTTCGAAGTGATTGGGCGTTTTCGGAAACTTACTCGGGTTGATCGTGTAGCAGTTTTTATTTGTCCACCCTGGAACCATCAGTCGATGACGAAAAGATATTGATATGATCGAGACCGGAGGAAGACAATTCGACGAACGTGTTATTTTTACATAATATTGAAATTGTTGACATTTTGCATTTACTTGATAGATTGGAAAATCAAGTGTTACCAGAGATCATTGTATGGTGTTGTTGTGTTGTAAGGTGTCGGGAAGTTGAATTGGAATTGATAATTGTGTGGAATAAGGTAAGTACTTAGAAAATTATTATATTAAGGGTTATTGTTTAATAAAAACAACAAATTATCAACACAGTATTGTTGATGCACATATCTGAGAGGTCTTGCCTTGATAAGTTGCGAAGCATCAAATAAGGTACTTTTGATTTTTTGATATGTTGTATGTGATGGATGACTTATGATAAATCTAAGTTTTCGACCTCGAGAGACCACCGGATCATTTTGAAATACTTGAAAAACATCAATATTTTCAGTTCTTTTTCAGTTTTGATCGATTTTGACCCCCAAGATCCCTTTTTATGGTGAAAATAGTTATATATTCTTTTGAAGTAGGTATACAAAATTTACAACAAAAATTGATAAATAAAAAATTGATATCTGTAGACCAAATAGTTTCCGAGATATAGCTGTTCGAATATTTGAAAAATTTACAAAGTTATCTAATTTTACACTTTCTTTCCGGTGTTAGCCCAGTTGACACTGAAGAATTAATTTTTCTTCAAATTTGACAATATTCATATTTCAAGTAGAGTGAATTCGCAGCAGAGTTAGTCCAGAATGATCACTGCATGTAGACCAAATATTCTCTGAGATACAGCTGTTCAAAGTAAACGAAGTTTGCAAATTAGAGAAGAAGGATTTGTGAAATGAAGGAATATAAGTATTACATACATCATAAACATATTATTATGAGAAGGTTATTTGTTAATATGTCATTGACATGATGATTGTATGTCTGTATTGCAGGAAAATTCTCATTTTTAATATTTTTCAAGTATATTGTTAAGTTGAAAGTTGGCCAACTTTGTAATTCATAATTCTTAATTTAATTGACAGATGTAAATGTATAAACCCTCATAGATGTTGCCATGTATTCAACTTTTCAAGTTCATAGTTGTTAGTTTCATTCTTATTTTAGTTGAATCTATAAACCCAGCATAAACGTTGAACACGAACACGATTTGTCATTTTCATTTCATCATCTAAATAATCTTAGACTTATTATGAATCCCAAAAGATGTGTGATTGTTGGAGTTTCGTGATAATCGGTTGAGCGTTGGGCATGAAATAAGAGTAACCAACAAAGTTACATACACATTTATCAGCTGGGCTGGTGGCCGTGAGCGTAGAGTCGCTGGCTGTTGCCCAGGCGGTCCGGGTTCGATCCCCGGCGCGAGCACTGAATTAATTTTCGGTAGTTTCGTTGGGCGGGAGGAGATAGGTGGCCAACCCAACATTCTTGGTACCTAGATATCAATCCTTTGGACTGTCCACGGTTACCAGCCGAGTAGTGCTTCGGATGACACTTAAAAAGCTAAGGTCCCCGTCTTCTTAACTCACACAAGTCTCTGACTTTCGAGGGTTGCTTTGCAACTAAGCTGGCGGTTAAAAACACTATTCTCTAACACTATAATAATAGTAGGGATATGGATGTAAGATAGTGATTAATTCAGATGACTTACAGCTAGGAGTTTACCACTTGAACTTCTCATCATTTCCCATTCCACATCAAAAATTATTTTATTCAGTAATCCAGACTGTATGATATGTTCAATACCTCTGTTGAGTATCTCCCCATATACTGACTTTTTTGGCAGGATGATAGCTACGCTGAAAGGAACAAGGCATTGTTCGCTCACATGTAATATGGATCTTTTATTCCTACAAAAAAAAACAAATTGATCACCCTGTATTTGTAAGTTCATTAAATAAATGATGGATGTAGGCAAAATTAATTTGTCAGCGACAGCTGTTTCGCGTTACCAAAGCTCATCAGTGTTACTCGGTCCCAGACAAACAAAAACATACAAACAACATAATCAGTTATATGTTACTGTACCGGTGATGATAACACCAAAAATTAGACTTACTTCATCGTCATATTTGTTCGAAGAATGAAATCCAGTTCTGCTTTTGAACCCATGAATGCATAATTCCAAAAGAAAGTTGTTGAGGCATTCCTAAGACCAGATTTAACATCTGGAACCAAATCCAAATTTTTCAATAGTTTTTCAGTAGAGGGATCGGAATAATTAACGAACAATTTAGGCCACTCCCCTTTATCTAAAAAATAAACCTCTTCTATTAGTATTCTTTTACACACGTTCCTCCAATCAGAAGAAATAACTTGAGAAGATGGGAAGATGCCCTTATTTTTGTAAAAAAAAAGAAACGACCACACTGTACTAACCAAGTATTCCAATTTGATATCTTCCACCCTTCAACTGGTCGATGGTATCAACCACAGCAGGATAAACTGGTAGGGTGACAAAAGCTATTATAGAGCCAGTGTAACAGGCAGTTACAATAATTGTGAAGAGCCAATAAAACACTGGAATGGTAAACACATTTTCATTAACAGAAAATCGAAAAACTCCACTAGTGTTTAACGCATTTATCTCAGAGAGGTGAATAGATTTCTGTAAGAAATGAAGTTGGTAATAAAAATGATCCTATAAAATAATATGTTGACGACAACGTTATAAATTAAGATACATCTTCGGAAATAGCTACTGTGAAAGCCAATGTTTAGAAGTTGTATATCCAGAATGAAACAGTCCAATATCCTCTAATAACACAAGATGACCATTGGATATCCGTTTCGGGTCAATTATATGTCCAAGGTGTCCATATGGACGAATTCTGGACAACAATAATATGTCTACATGAAGATATTCAATGGATCTTCAGATAAAGGAATCCATATATCGATACCATAGTTCAATAGTGTAACAACTCGAAAAATAACCATTTGATTCATCATTATTTTATTAGCTTTTATGTGCTATACTGTGGCAACTGAAAGTTCCAGTACTGACCAAGAGATGGTGCTAGTTACTCTATAGAACTGAAGAAAACTTCATTTCCATATAATTAAGACTTGTTACAGTTTTGAACTGTGAAATATTCTCAGTGATTCAGAGTTGTTGCATTGCATAGCTCAAAATGGTCAATTTCAACACTCAAAACAAACTTATTATACTATGTTATTTCATTGTTCCTGTAGTGATTATAGTTATTGCACTTACTCATCTAATAATGATGATGATTTTTGATCACAGAGCTTATTTATCCCTATAATAACACAATAACATCTGTAAGACGTCGTAGAAACATCCATATGGGATGATAGGAACATCTCTGGAAAATCCCTATTTTCCTTAGGACATTCTTGGGATGTTGCTGGCAACACCCGTGTCAGCGGCATTTGCGATGTCTTATAAACATCCCATCAGAATGTTTGTGGGATGATACGGGATGTACCAGAGACATATATATATATAGGACGTTCCTTGGATCGACTCGTCTCATTAGGGTTAGACCCTAAATCATAATTATTGGATTATTCACTTTCTTATAAAAACTATACTTTGCTAGTTGATGGAGTGTATCATTGATGCGAAGAGCCGATCGTTGTGCAACTGATAAGACTTGGCAAGCCGAAACAGTTCGTCATTCAGTCTAACAATCGATTCACGAAAATCTCTTTGCCGGCCTTTATTGCGGTTCTGGGGCTTTCAACGTTCGTCAAAAGAACTGTTCTTTATTGTTGCTGTCAAATCAGGAAGCCGTTTTTCAAGTTTGAAATTAGTTGTTACAAAAATTTCAAGATATATCCTTTCTTCCATTCACCTCTCTTCTGAAAATATGTTATGGTTGTGAACTTCTCACCAATAAGGAGCCTAGTGGCTACTTTGTCAGCTCTGCTCCATGATTTTTCCCCAGTGAATGTGAAACAGTTGGTAAAAGTACCATAAACGTACCAGAACATGTTCTCGATTTCCTCGGGGTTTTTTATCAAGTGTTTCAAGGTGTGTTTCTCGGAGAAAGACAAAGGAAAAATTCCAAATAAATATATGATCACCAATGCCATCCAAACTGTCCAATGAAATGGACCCATGATCGCCCTGTACCTAAAATTCATAGTCAACATAAACAAACTAGCAATCCTGCTTCTCCCTGCCATTTTGTTGAAATCCAACAGTTACTTTTCATTGGGGCTAATTTAGTCGTCATATATCTAATTTACAATAAATAGAACCGATTTTCCAAAAAAAGTGTTGACACCCTCGCTGTATCTCCGAAACTATACCTATGCATTTTTGGTTTGAGTTCACATTTTTTTATGTTCTGGTTCCCACGAAAAGGGATATCCTGTAATGTTCAGAGAACATCGTGAGAACCAAGGAAAATAAGGTAGGAATTGGTGTTCTTCTCAAATTTCTGGAGGTTATATGCCTCGGAGAACACCTCCCTTGGCAATTCGTTCCAGAGCCTCGCTGTTCGTTGAATAAACGAGTCTTTGAAAAGAGATGTTCTGCAGGTCTTCAAAGTGACCACGGAGGGTGCGAAGCCTCGACTCGACGGTTTAATCTCGCGGGGACTGCCAATGGAGGAACAATTGTTGATATTTCAGAAGAGCATCGTCCATGAAAATATCTATAAAATAGGGCCAGATCGCCAACTTGTCTACCAGAGAAGTGAGTGAGTTTGTGAGCGAGGCATCACCTCACCCCACCCACGGGACGAATTGCCCTTTTTTGAACAGAATCCAATAGTTTCAGGGTATGTTTGGGTGCTGCACTCCAAATATAGGAACAGTATTCCAGGACAGGTCGGATTTGTGCCTTATAGATCATAAGCAGCTGACTGGAAGTGAAATAGCTCCTGGCCCGAAACAGAAATCCAAGTTTTTGGGATGCACTTTTAGCAATCGATCTCACGTGATTTTCCCAAGAAAGGTTATTGCTGATAGTAATACTAAGCATCGAAATGGATGTCTTCAAAGGTATGGTTACTCCTGACAGGCTTATGTTGGGCACAGTGAGATCGGCTTTCCTAGAGAAAAGCATGCTTGTGTTTTGTTTGCATTGAAATCTACCAAGTTATTGGATCCCCATTCTAGAATTTTTGCCAAGTCCACATTTATGTTGTCAACATTTCTTCCTCGTTCGTTTCTGATTTGCCTGGCTGTAATTGGAGCCCTGGAAGAGAAGGCGGTATGGAGGGTACTATCATCCGCGAAGCTGTGTACTGGACATGAAGCTGCTTCCAGCAAATCGTTGACATGGAGAAGAAATAGTGTTGGTGCTATAATTGATCCTTGCGGAACACCAGCATTTATCATAAAAGAGAGTCAGATGAAACTCCGTCGACCACTACATGAAGAGACCTGTTTGAGAGAAAACAAGCTTTTTTTTATCGCTTGGAGCGCACGAAAGGGAATCCCTATAATGTTCAAAGAACATCGTGCGTTCCTAGGGAGGATAGGGACAGGAGGTAGGTATGGGGAAGACCACTGAGAGAAGAAATCCGTGCAAACCTCTTTTAATCGACGAATCATGAGTTACGTTTGATGTACAATCAATATTATGAGTTGAAGTTGAAGGGAATCGAATCTAAATCGTTTTGAAATCAGCATATTTCATTCGATATTTCAAACAGCCAAATATGATGGTGGAGCCGTGACGTACTAGTCCCAACCTGTAGCTATCTCTCTCTGATACCTCGTCATTCTGCAGTATTGCAGTGTGATTGGTCAGTTCAAGGACAATAGGCGTGTTGGGACCAAGACGTCGCACCAGTCACACCAATGAATTGACAAAATTTCAAATGGCGCAGGAATTGTGTGCTTTGAAATGGATATATTCTAATTTATTGTTTTCATCGTCTTAGCATGAATGACAAAATTCAAAATTAATTCGCTGGTAGTATTTTAGTATAGAGTACACGATAATGTCGTTTTAAAAAATCAGTGGTCTCCCCCATTGGAATTATTTTTGAACTTCTGGAGATTATATGTTGTTGGGAATACTTCCACAGGCAATGAATTCCAGAGCCTAGCGGTTCTATGGATGAAGGAGTCTTGATAAAGTGCTGTTCGACATCTTTCGAGGTTGACAACGAAAGGATGTGCTGACTGGGCTTGTCTAGTTCGTCTGATTGGTATTGCTAGTGAAGGGATGACAGACATTTCCGAAGAACATTTCCCGTGGAAGTATCGATAAAAAAGTGAAAGGTCGCCGACCTTTCTACGGTGTTCCAATGGACATAGCTGAGGAGGCAAGCCATAAGATGGAAGCTTGGCGAGGAGTCCGTGGTGCCGATCGAATGCCTTGAAGATATCAAGTGCCCCGGCTAAGGTTTCATCATATTTTTCAATAGATTGCTGCCATATATGTGAGACGTAAGCGTTGATGATACCTGAATGTTCCAGGTATTTCATGAGTTCGATGTTGAGATCTTTGAAATAAATTTGTAAAAGTAGTTGAACAACTTGCAGAGAACAGGTGTTAGTTCAGGAGCACATTTCTCAAAAATACCCGGTGGGATTCCGTGGGAGCTAAAATCTTTGTTGGTGTTGAGACCCAATAAAATCTGCCTTATAGTAAGTACGTTGGCGAAAGGTGATCTCAGGCATACGACTATCGACTGGCGTTATGTTTGGAGATTGGTTTCCCGATGAATCCAGAGTAGAATTTCCAGAAAATAAATGCGCAAAATGTTGGCTTTTTGTCTTAAAATCGTTCGAAAAAATCACCCCTTAAAAATTGATCATTAACACCCTGTAAAGATCTTTGGTTCTTCATCAAGGAATTGAACAAAATAGAATAGAACTCGATAAGACCATTCAGCACATCCTTTCGTTGTCAACCTTGAAATACTTTACCAAAACTCGTTCATCTATAGAACGGAGAAGAGCTTTGGCATTATTTGCCAATAAAAGTACAAAAAAAATCCTACCTCCTTTTCCTATTTTTCCTAGGTATGCGCACGATGTTCTTCGAACATAATAGAAATTTCCTTTCGTGCGCTTCAACAGATGAAAGAATTGTATTGAATAGAACTTATTATTTACTCGCCTATGGAGGAGTAAACAGGTATAGTTCATCCGAAAACAATTGCAGAATCTTGTGACGCACCTGCAGTCACTTCAAAGGAAACTTCAAACACGCCGACGCCGCACAGTGTGAGGTATTCTGCAATTGATATTGGATATACTATACAATAATTACTGATAAAAGTAACTAGGCATAACTACACGAATAAGTCTTACCTCGGTAAAGCAGTCGAGGATAAAGAAGTAAAAGCGGCACAATCAAGAGAATGCGATCTTGTTACCCCCACTCTACTCAGTTTATTAGGGGTGACATATACACCTCCAATACCCACATTCGCCTTACCCTTCTCGACAGTTCGGGTAACAGCCTCAGACGACCTTCAAATTAATATACTCACATTAAATGTAATGGTTATAGTGAATATCATCACTCACCCAACCGAAATATCTTCTGTGGCCTCCCTATAATCGGTAGTGAAATTGTATTTTTTTGATAACATATTCACTAAACGAATTTCAATGCCATCGAATGCTTTATCCCCATCGTACGATCTTTCCCTAAAAACAAAAAAAAAAGATGGAAAAATATATACCTACAACCTGAAATGAAGTTATCAAGGACCCCGCAAATTTTTAAAGTAAATTGGGCCCCGGTGGATTTTTCTCAGTTTTTGGTATGATGTGGTTCATGTGGTTCTATGAAATATTTTTATTTAGCCAACCCCCAAAACTGGACAGTTTTTTTGCCAGGGAGGTTTGAATTCACATTTTGATCTGAATGACCATTTATTTCTGAGAAAATGAACGATATTCCAAAACTTTTTATTCCATTCAATTACTTCTAAGAATAGATTCTTCATAAAAAAAATATAATGGGGCGAATTATTATACACCCAAGCCTTATTTTGAAAACCGATAAAAAGAAAATCCATCTAACTGTCAAAAGTGATAGGAAATGTTTCAAATTTCAAATTCAAATATTCTCTATTGTCAGAAGATTTTGCATCCCATTGACAAAGGTTTGTATAGGTACCTACATGTAAATATAAACATAACTAATATAGTGTATAGATATGAACAGATAAGTAACAAAAAATTTTAGAATAAATCAAGTACAAATACAATAAAAGTAAAATAGATTACACATATTTTCAAAAGGATTCATTAAAATTCTCTTGTAGGCTATAAAAGGGTCTATCAGCTAGCAAATTTCTCACTGCTTTCCTAAAATGCACATTGGTCAGATTTGCAGATCTTATATCTACTGGTAAGTGATTGAAAAGCTTTCCACCATTATAAAAAATGGAATCCTTGATTAATGTTGAGTTGGGTATGGGAAGTCTGATATTAAATATGCTATTACGAGTAGCATACGGAGAAGAAACAAAGTCAAACTCCGTTTTGTGTTTGTATACCAGGATTACCAGGCATACATGTTTCAAGAATAAACAGTGCAACGACAGTTAAAATCTTATTGGCAGCAAAATAATTCCTGCATGAATCCCTAGGTTTGACCTTACAGAGACACCTTACAGCCCTTTTCTGTAATATCAACACAGAAGAGAGAAGGGTTGCACTGCATGTTCCCCAAAAAGGTATTCCATATCTTATTTGAGAGTCAATTAAAGCGTAGTAAGCCGTTTTTGCTGTGTGAAAACCCAACTCATTAGAAACCATTCTCACTGCATTACATCCGGATGAGATTTTACTCTTGAGTTGTCTGGATAATTACAGAATCCGCATTTTTGCATTATTACCCCCCACCAAATGGGGGGTGCAAATGAAAAAAAATTCGGTGGATTTCGCTGAATTTTTTATATGATGTAGTCCATATGATTCTGATCAGAGAATCATCGGGTGACAATCCTAAGAAATGGACAGTGTTTTTAGGGGGCTTCAATTCACATTTTGAAAAAAAAATAGACTAACCATTTGATTCTGAATAGAAAGACAACTTTTTTCCTTAATGATTTTTCATTCGGAAATAATGTGAAGGGGGGTTCTCACCCCCAACCACCTTTAAAAAAATCCGCGCTACTGTTAGAAGCATATGAAAATGTTCAATCACGAGAAATGATATGGAAAAAGCATAGACTCATTATTTACATAAAAAAACCTTGAGAAGTGTTGCAAAAATTGATTTTGGTCCTTAACGACACAGTGGAGTAATTGAATGCCATTAATTCATTATCAGTCCACTCGTGGATTTCGCTGAATTTTTGATATGTGTAGTCCATATGATTCCGATCAGAAAATCAAAGGGTGATATTCCTGAAAAATTTACAGTTTTTCTGCTATAGGGAGCTTATTCAATTCACATTTTGAAAAAAATTTACTATACCATTCGATTATGAACAGAAATGGACAACTTTCTTCAATATTGTATTCCTATTCCTTAAAGATTTTTCCTTCGGAAATATTGGGGGATTCTCACCCCCCAACCACCTTTAAAAAAATCCGCGCTACTGTTAGACACATATGAAAGTTTAATCACGAGACAATTATATGGAAAGCACATACTCATTATTTACATAAAAAAAAGCGTGGGAAGTGTTGCAAATTGATTTAGTTCCATATAACGACCCAGCCAGCACAAAGAGGTCCTAAAGATATCTTGAAGAAATCCTTTTAGGAAATTGTGATGCCTTTTGTAACTTCTTTGAGAGATCGCCGAGAGTGCTATATCTATGCCAAATGTCCGCCACCTAGGCTGAGCTCAGCGAGGTCTTGAAGATATCGCACGCAGAAATTCTCATACAATGCCCTCAGGCGCGCACTTTGAGATATACGCTTCCATCGCCACTGGCGATAACTGAAAGTGCTCGCAATCATGAGCTGTTTGAGAAATTCGCATACATTGCTTTGTGACGAGGACATTGGGAGATTCGCATCAATTGCTTCTGTCGAGGTCTTTAAGTGCTCGCGACTACGAGCTGTTTGAGATTTTCGCACGCATCGCCTTGTGAAGAGAACTTTGGGAAATTCGCATCAATTACTAATAGCGAACTCTTTGAGTGCTCGCAACTATGAATTGTTCAAGAATCCGTGCACATCACCTTATAACGAGGCCTTTAAGAGCGATATTTGCATCAATCGCCACATGATCGCCACTAATATGGTAAGGTGTTCAATGTTTGAGAAGTCATTGGTTATCAGCAGTCTCCTATCGGCGAAGACTAACTAGCGCCAGCTATATGTTTGGGGTGGAGTTGAATTTACTGGATATTTATTTCAGCGAAAAAGATTGAGTTACCAAACTTAGAGTTAGATCAACGTAATGAGCTTTAATTATATATTATTCTATAGCAAGACATTGATCAAGTAAACTTTATCACTTGAAAAAATCTCCGAGGAGTTGGCCGGGTATCCTTTGAAAAAAAAGTTCGTCCGATATCTACCCACGAATTTGAGGTAGATATTTGATTCTCCATCCCACCTGAATTAGAACATTTTTGTCTTTTTCGTCAGAGCAGATAATTAATTATCATTAATTCTTAATTCACTGCAAAATTTGAAATAATCAGTAAGAAAATCTAGTATCGAGTATACAATTATTATTATCATAGATTAATGACTCCCATTTCATGTTAATACTGGGTGTCCCAAGTTATCGTAAAGGTACCGGCAAAAACTTGCTTACTCGACAAGATGAACAAAAAATAGTAAAAAAGCTTCAAATGACATCAGAGAACTTTCTTTATGACTCAAAAAAAAGTGTATAAGATTGGACAGCCACCTGGTAGCAACTCCTCAATTTTCATTTAATGGACTCCCTGTATATTGTCATTGAAAATTGCCAATCATCCTATTTCGGGAATGAACGATAGCACATCGGTAGGTACTTTGTATTTTGTTCATTAATAACAACATTAACAATAAAATTTTTTGACCTCATTTACGTTACATCGATTGAAAATTGCCTCCTCCCACAATGAAATTAGATTAATTATTACACTAGGTAGGTACCGTCTGCAATGATTGATGTTCTGCAGTTCAAAATGGAATATCTGTCATTAATATTTTGAAACAAAAATGCAATCCATACTTCTTATTTGTGAACTTCTTGAACACATGGGTGAAAGCAATTTGTCATTTGAGTAACGTAAAAAAGTCCCAAAATGTTCATGTTTTTGTTGTTATCAAGAACAAAACACAAAGTATGTGCTATATCGTTGTATTCCAAATAGATTGACACGCAATTTTCAGAGACAATATGCTACTAGATCAGTATCTACCATCCGGGGGCTGCCAAATATATCACATTCTTCATAAGCCATTAGGAAGGTTATTTAATGCCATTTAATGCAGTTTTTTAATGCTTTTGATATCTTGACAAATAGGCGAGATATTGCCTGTAAACGATAACTTGGGACACCCAGTATTTGAATTATAAAGGCTATTGAAAAAAACAACTCAATATTTTTGTAGGAATATTCATTAATTATTCAGGTTATGTTTGTGATTACTTTAGGAGCTCGCAATGGGAAATTCTCGATCTTGTTACGTCCAGGATATCCTTGGGTGCTCGCAGAAAGAAATGCCTATTCATTTCCTGTTATAGATAACCTCAAGGATTCGCAATAATGAGGAATATATCAAATCTGAGGCGAGATCTCCGCGATTTCTTTCGGACGACTCCAGAGAGTATTTCCCATGGTGACAGCCTATAGTGATCTTTGATACCTCGCAGAAGGATTTCGCATTCTGATCCTGAAGATAACTACTTAGAGATATCGCGGAGAGTACCGTGTTACCTGGGGACACACTGGAGTAATAGAGAGTTGAAGTGTTGTCATGAACGTTAACGTAAACGTAGAAATTGACAGCTACGCATGCGCATTTTCCAGTTCTTCACGTTTGCGTTGTTAGTGGGCTTACGGGTGTACGTTATCTCACGTTCCTTCACGTATCTCTTAAATAGAGAGTTGAAGTGTTGTCATGAACGTTAACGTAAATGTAGAAATTGACAGCTACGCATGCGCGTTTTCCAATTCTTCACGTTTGCGTTGTTAGTGGGCCTACGGGTGTACGTTTATCTCACGTTCCTTTACGTATACCTTAAATATCAACGTACGTTAACCAAACTATACTCGAAATATGCCGATGAGTCAAAGTTATCAAATTCGAGATCACCAACGAGTTCTGCATCGAGTCCTCTAATTTTGACAGGAATAAATGTTCGAATCTAAACACACAACCAAAAATGACCAATACAAACCGAAAACAAAATGTATTATTACGTTATGATGACAGTGACGATCAAAGTGGCGACTTCAACTCAATTTAACGACAATACGTAAACGTTATTTTTCGTACGTTAACGTCGACGTGGAGGTCTACGTACAGTGATTACTTCAACTCTCTAATATCAACGTACGTTAACCAAACTATACTCGAAATATGCCGATGAGTCAAAATTATCAAATTCGAGATCACCAACGAGTTCTGGATCAAGGAGTCCTCTAATTTTGACAGGAATAAATGTTCGAATCTAAACACACAACCAAAAATGACCAATATATACAAACCGAAAACAAAATGTATTATTAACGTTATTTTT